CTTCAATAATACTCCATTCAATCTTCTGATATTAAATTCTCCAAAGCTAAGAGGATTTGTTCAATGTACCGAAAGAATTCAAGGCTTTTGCCAATGAGTCAAAGCACCGCCGCCAGCTCTAATCTTCACCTAACACTCAACAACGTCGTTCTACTTCTTCAATTCTGCGTTGAAATTTATTTCTTGGAGGGACGCTGAGCAGCAAAGTTTCCCCTTTTAAGCAGATGCGATTTCCATAAATGGCCAAACGAAGTGGAATGACGCATGAAAACAATCACGAAAATAAGTTTCTGAAGCGCTCCAGGTGCACCTAAAAGGCGTCAATGATACAGGGTGAACCTTACCTTTTCGAAACTACTGACTTTAAAATAACTTGTGCAGCAGAAAAAATAGTAGTAGTAGTAGTAGTAGTAGAAAGATTTATTTAGCACATTTGGCTACATAAACAGAATAATTGTAAACAACTTAGAATTAGTAAATTCAAGCCATATGGTGTATGATGTAAATGCTAGGCAACCTATAATTGTAGATTTAACAAGTGATTTCTCAATTTTACTTTAAATTTTGTCAAAGTTTTCTAGTCTTGTATCTCCGAGTATAATTTATTATATTTAATAAACCCTTGATGGAATACAGATTTGTAGCATATGTTATACTTTTTGGTCATTAAATGGAAGTCATCTTTATTTCTGGTATTATGTAAATGATGGTCGACATTTGATGATGTTAAATTTGTTAGACTTGATGGAAATATATTATTTTTTACTTTATAAATGAATATCATTACAAGATATTTGATAAAATTTTTTACATTGAGCCATTTTAATTTGCTAAGCATTTGCCTAATTGGAGTATATTCATCTTTATTCAGTATTATTCTCGTGCATTTATTTTGTAAAATTTGCAGTCTTTCAAAAATGTAATTATTTGCTAAATATAGAATAGTCGAACAGTACAAGAAATTTGGAAGAATGATGGTATTATAGATAATTTTTCTGCTATATGAACTCAGACATCCAGAAACTCTCGATAAATATCCCACTTTACTACTAATCTTATTTATAACTTTTTTATAAAGAATATCAAAAATTAATCGAGAGTCAACAAAAACCCCCAGGTATTTAAAATTTTCTACGAATTCAATATCTTCACCATCAATATTCAGTTGAACATTTGTACATTGTTTTTTCCGATTAACATAGCTTTCGTTTTACTTGTATTTAATTTTAGTCTGTTAGATGCTAACCATTTTGAGACAAGTTTCAAGTCTTCATTTATATAAGAGATACCAGTCTGAATATTTTTAGTACTTATATAAATCATAGTTTCATCTGCGAGAATCTGAATTTTGCATTTTTTGACAACGGCAGGTAAATCATTTATGTATAAAATAAAAAGGAGTGGTCCCAGGATACTGCGCTGTAGAACACCCAACGTATTTTCAATTTTTGATGAAATAGTGTCATTAACTTTTGTAATTTGCATCCTTTTAGACAAATAATTTCTAAACCAATCTAAAACACTTCCTGTTATACCATATGCCTTCAATTTACCTAACAAAATATCTCTATCAATCGTTTCAAATGCCATCTTCAAATCCAAAAATACTGCTATGACAACTTCTTGTGAGTCTATGGCTCTTCTCCAATTCTCAGATACCAACTGGAAAGCTGTTTCTGTGGAATATTTTTTTCGAAAGCCTGCTTGCGCCTTCACTAAAATTTTGTTTTCTTCTATAAACTGCATTAATTGGTCATGCACTATGGACTCTAATAATTTTTCAATGTCTGGTAACACATTTACTGGTCTCATATCGCTGCATCTTTTAGAATTTTTTATTTTGGGAACTGGTGTTAATGTAGAACATTTCAAATTTTCAGGAAAAGAACTGCTTCTCAGTGAACAATTGATCCAATTTAATACAGGATATCCCAAAATTTCGAAACAGTTTTTCAGCACGTTTTTAGTAGTGATTTCGGCACAGTTGTTATTTGATTTTAAACTGTTTACTTTGTTTCTTAGATAATTCAATGATACGCTGTGAAATTTTGAAAATGTATGCAACATTTCCCCCTGGAAACTGATTTTCATCAAATGGCGTCAAATAGGTTTACTTTGCACATCCCACGCAATGCTATTATCAGTTCATGAAGTATTACAGAGTTTGTCCGGGAAGTAACAGGACTGAGTCGATTTAAAAAAATTTATTGAACCAATCGTTACAATTCTTCAAAAACTTTCAAAATAGGCTCCTTCTGCGTCGATGCAGCGCTGCCAGCGCGATTTCCAGGCATTGAAGGCGTCACGGAAGGCATTCTCCGGAATAGCCTTGAGAGTCGCGGTGCATGCTGTTTGGATCCCCTATGTCGTCTCAAAATGCTTGCCTTTCATCGGCCTTTTCAGGCGAGGAAACAAAAAAGTCCGGGGGGGCACGTCTGGGCTGTACGGCGGCTGCGGAAGCGTTGGGAAGCCGGCCTTGGTCAGCTGTTCACAAGAAAGGCGGTGTGAGCCGGGGCGTTGTCGTGGTGCAACTTCCAGTCGGCTGCGATGTCTTGTCGGACCCGACTGACCCTTCGTTTGAGTCTCCTGAGCGCTTCCACGTAAAACTTGGCGTTGACGGTTTTTGCAGGAGGAACAAATTCATGGTGGACGATGCCTTTGATGTCAAAAAAGACAATGAGCATCATTTTCACTTTGGATTTGCTCATTCTTCCCTTTTTTGGGCGAGGAGATTGCCTCTGTGTCTCGGGATCATACTCAAAGATCCACGACTCGTCACCTGTGATTACGTTATTCAAAAATTGGGGGTCACTTTCACACATGTTCAAATTTTCTTGGCACACTTCCATTCGCCGCAATTTCTGGTCGTCAGTGAGCACTTTTAGGACCATCTTCGCGCATGTTCAAATGCTGTGTCACAATGTCATGAACCACAGATTTTGGTAAATTTAACATCTGGGAAATTAAACGAATACTTAGTCGTCGGTCTGAGTTGAAAACTTTGCGCACACGAGTCACATTATCGGTGTTTGTCGAAGTCGAAGGTCCTCCAGCACGGTCCTCATCAGCGACCTCTTCCCGGCCCTCCAAAAAGGCCTAGTGCTACCGAAACACACTACTTCTTGCGAAAGCAACACCTGGGGAAGCCTGCTTGATCATATCAAACGTCTCTGTCGCAGATTTACCGAGTTTCACACAGAATTTAATCGCGTACCTCTGCTCTAACGAACTCTGCATTTTCGGCTTGCACCACTCACAGTAGCACGTCGCGCGAAAATGCCTGTTCTGACTCTCCAAGTGCTCGGAGACAACTGACCAGCCGCTCATTCGTTAGCTAGGAACGCCTTCTACCGAATCCAGTCGTTGCGCGCACGCTCCGAAGTACAGTCATGGCGGAAGAAAATGAGTCCTATTACTTCCCGGACAAACCCTGTATGTTCGGCACAAACTAGATCCTCTAAAAAGAAAGTCAAACAGGTTCGAACTGTTAGTCCATAGACAATCTGTCCCGGTCCTATCGGTCGTGCATCTGAAAACGTCGCTTTAACCCGGTTGGACGTGGCAGGGCGGTCAGAGGTCAGAGCATATCGTGCAACAGCTGTTCGTCTCTTATCGGGTGCCTTTGGGGAAATTTATTCAGATCAAAAGACAAATTTGCTAGGGGAAAATCCTGAAAAATTGTTACTCATATAATGACAGGCTATTCAATTATGATTATTAGATTACGTTCTAATCACCTATTGCATCCACATTGAATTTAAGTTCTTTAAGACTTCAGAAATCTAGGTACTTTTTTATGTAATTAAGTTTCAATTTCTCACAAATTATTGGGGAATTTCAGTTCATGCTCAAATTCAGGCAGAATATTCATAACAGTATAAACTGAGTTTCCCTAAAAAATGCCATAGTTACTAATCTCCAACAGAAAGTTTTTGTTTTGGGTTTAAAATATCATCATGACCAATAATGATAATATCAATTTTTACAAACAAAAAAGAATTAGGCGATCTTTAAGCTGCAAAAATTGATTATTTAAGTTAAATGCAATAGTTTAAAGCTTGTTTAAGTACTTGTGCAATAGAAATCTTCAAATTAAACTAGATTTCCGTCTAAACTAACGTAGGATAGTGCCTTGAGTTGTTTTTGTTTTATTGTCAGTTTTTTACAAAATGTCGGAAACAAAAGACATTGTTTATTTTGTGTTTTAGTTCTTACCTAAATCCTAAGAATATTTGATAGTGACTGATTATTACACATTACAGAGAGTTTTTTTCTTTTATAGAGAACTGCTATTATTATTACTGATATTAATTATACTCATACTATAATCATACTCATTTGAAAGTTTCGATTTCGGCCGAAACTAAAATTGGGCCGAAATGTCGGTTCAGTTTCCGCTGAAATACTAGTTTCGGTCAGACACTATGTAGCACCAAACACCATACCAGAACAACAGAATTCACCAATGGCGGCGTCAAGTCGCGTCGCTGATAGCAGCGGCCGCCGCCGGTATCGAAATCAAGCGGTACCTATTTCGTTATAGGCGTTAAAAGATTATCAGACAGACGGGAAAATCGTAACTTTTGAAACATATTTAATAGGTGGGTAGAATTACTGGAGCTGGGGGCAGATAACTTTACTTACATAAAAAATTTTTGCTCGTTGTTCCGCCGCCGCTGAGCCGATTTTCAAAATCTAAAAAGCTGTTGCATCCTTGGCATAGTAGTAATATTATTCCATCCGAGCGATACTTCTCAAGTTATAGCAAGATATAAGATTCGCAGACAGACCGACAGACAGACCGATGAAAATGATTGACATGGTTTTTGGTGATGTACATGTCATATAACGTCTAAGAACCATAATATCGCATCTTCGAAATTTTTTGAGATATCAATACCTTCTCACCAGTGTAGCGTTTGAAATAAAACGACCAAATTTGAGGTAAATAACGAGTCCTTTCATTGATGTCCAATTTGGAATTGGTGCGCCAGCCTTACACAGGAAAGGCATTTCAGCCGACGCAAAGAATTGGTATTTTAAAACTCAAACTTTATAATTGAAACTTACAAAAATAAGAAATGCGCTTCAATGTGAGATATATTTATTTGTTTCTACATAATATGTTTCACATAGTGTTTTTAAGTTGTAACAGAAGATATGAAATCTTCTTATGTCAAGGCCGTGGACCTGCAAGAATTAAAAAAGATGTATTTGAATATTACGGCCTAGATTGATAGAATTTGATTATATGCTTGTGATTTGTATTGTATTTTAACGTAAATATTTTTTACCGACTTTAAGGTACTATACTAAAAGCTGTCACTAATAAAAGAATTTAAATATGTGCTGGAGATACGGAAAAAAGTATCTATACGTGTTAGCATTTTTATGATGCTATTTGTAGTTCTAGTGTGTTGTAAATGTTTTATACTGTTAGCATATTCTTACATGTTAAAGTCGGTTATCCAGCATTTCCAATGCAATTGACGCAAGGTCCTGAAAAATGATGACAATTGAGAAATATTATAGAAAAGTAACCATTGCTTCCGTTCGCGCAAGCAAACTTCCATAGCTAGCAAAAAAAACTTCCAAAATATAAAAATGAGCTTTATTATATAACCCATCGTGTAAGTACTGTAGCTTACATTTTTTATACAAGTAGTACTTCATTTAAATTCATGTTGCGATTCATATTCTTGTTATCATTTGTTGTAGTCTTCGATATGACCCTACTACGACTTGAACTTTTGAAAAAATTACCTGGTAGTATATTTCCGTTGTCGTTGTGATTATCGTTTTTGTTTATGTTCTCGTTATTATTTTTATCCCTATTTTTATTCTCATTCCTACTTTCTGCGAAACCAGGTATAATCACCAGTCCAGGTGGAAGCACAACTTTCGGTGGTTCAGGCGCGGGTACTTCTGCTGGTGGAGTTTCATCGGGAGGTAAAGGAGGTTTAGGTGCTGCGTAATTGAATTGAAAAATAAATGTTATTAGGTTCGACTACTAAGTGTTAAAATAACAAACATTTGTGTGTTAATACATATCATTCATGTTTACTGTTATTAGCCAGGCATCACTATAAATGTATCAAAAATCTTTGGAGGGCTTTCGGCTAATTTTCTCATCTATCGACTATAACAAGCATTATTTTAGCACTCTATACGAACATACACTTATATACATGGTGTTAATAAAGTATGTAGACAAACTTTAACCGTCGAATCCTTGGTCGATTTGAAGAATAAATGTTCATATGAACATGGGTCCGTCACGGCTTCCTTTCCGAGCTAGAGCCACATCACTAAGGAAATACGAATAATGCGCCAAATATTTCTAGGAATAATGAAACGTATTTATTGACCAGTTGGTATAACCTATCTTGAATTTTGCATGTTTTACAGATTGCTGAAGCTCAATGTGAACGTGGATGAAAATAGTATTATCCTGTATTTTTGAAAAAAAATTATTTAGGTCAATAGTTTTGAACAGCAACATTCGAATAGAATGACAACAATAGAAAATACCAAATATTATTTTCTACAATAAATGTTCAAAATGGCCGCCTTCGACTTAATACAGGGGTCTAATCTGTTACACACTGACTGACGAGTTCTCCTGAAAATACCCGGAGTATTTGGTATAGTCGGACATGACTCGACACGCTTTGAACAGGAGTCTTGTATACTAATGATTTCAAATGTCCTCATAAAAATAAATCGATAGAATTCATGTCAGGCGATCTAGGCGGCCATGGCTGTGCTCTGATAGGCCAACCTCGAGGCAAAAGCGCTTGTACACGCTGTATATGATATGGATGAATCTGCTGATCTTTCAAAATTTGCCACACCGTTACGTGATTTAAATTTAGCTGGTGCGCAATTTTTCGTGTATTTGTTGTAGGGTCCTCTTCGATTTTATTAAGAACACCTTCTTCGATTTGGATGGTTCTTACACTTGCTGGTCTTCCTGCAACATGTGAGGATCTCTTGAAACTGTCTGTTTCACATAGTCGAGCGTGAATGGTGATGAAAGTTTGTACATTAGGCAGCGGGCCTTGTGGAAATCGCTCACGACACAAACGTCGTGCTCCTCGAGCGTTACCCAGAGCCAGTCCGTAAGCGAAATGCATATCTGTCATTTCTTGATTACTGAACTGAGCCATTGTGACAATTAGTAATCACCAAAACTTAGAAATATTTGGAGTCTTAGAACGACCAGACAAATATTTGACAGCTGTCGAATTATTTGAGGAAATAAATTATTTCAATTGTCGTCATAAGTGTCTAGATAAGCACAATGCTTAAATATTAAAAGTATTGCGATCAAAACAAATCAATGACATGCTATTTTTTCAAAATTACTGGATAACATCATCCATATCTACGTACATGGAGGGTCTAAAAACAACTGTAAAGCATGTGATATTCACCACAGGGCATACTTCATTTAAATAAAATACGTTCCACTCTTTTATAATTTTTTAGAAGAATATGATTTCTTTAGTGCTAATATGCTCTAGCTTCAAAACAAAGCCGTTGCGGACCCATGTTCATATGGAAATTTGATGTTCAAATTGACCAAGGATTCGATGGTTAAAGTTTGTCTACATACTTTATTACACCCTGTATATAAATGAAATTTTGGCCATACATTAGTACTTGAATGATATGACGGTTGTGAAATGTTGCTATCTGTAACATCGTTTAACTCTTCCCGTTTTCAATGTTTTCATTATTACTCTTAAATGATAAGGAAAAGTTATACATAAGTAGATAACTTTTTTAGACATTCGAAGTTTTTTAATAACAATCAATTTCATGATATGTACAATATCACATCGATAAAATCGGAAATAAGGACTGTTCGTCTATGCCTCTGTACATGAAACTGACGAAATGGTTGGATAATGATATGAAACACATAGCTCTGATATGTATTGAAATCCAAGTTAGTTTGGGCCTTCCTGCCGCCTCTCGTTTGTTTTCACGGGACGTGAGTTCATTGCACAGTATTTTCATATACAGGGTGTCGCATGGAAAACGAAACAGACGCATTTACTGGCAGCTCAGTTTTTTTTTTGGAAAAACGCTCAGACCTGTCGATTTTGTTTTCGAGGCGGACACAGGTTTGGCAAAAAAACACGTTAGCACGTGCAGCCCCCTAAGCAGGGGTGACACCACCCCCAAATTCTTAAATGGAAAGGGGGGTTGAGTGATACCTTATTTTAAAGGTCTTTCAATTCCCTTTATAATGATGGAAAATACATGAGCCTCAGTTCAGTAGTTTTGAAGATTTATTGATATAAAACTTAAATGAAACTAATACAACTTCATTAGTGGAGATCAATACATTTGGCAGCAAAGTAATTCAAAAATGAAGAATGAACTGACCCGTTAGGCAAGTAAATGTTGAAAGTAGCCACCATGACTCTCCATGCAATAATAAAGATTTTGCTCAAAACGTTGCCGCACATTTTGCAATATTTGAGGAGTAATTTGAAGGCACTCATTCACAATTCTTTGTCGCAGGTCTTCTAATGATGTTGGCTGAGTAGCATAGATTTTGCTTTTTAAATGACCCCACATAAAGAAATCTAAAGGTGATAAATCTGGCGATCTTGAGGGCCATTCAATGGCACCTCTTCTATCAATCCATCGATCTGGAATCGTCTAATCTAAATATTGTCGAACACGTAATGCGTAATGTGGTGGGGCACCATCCTGTTGGAACATCAACCTATTCGCAATGTACCGCCGATCATTCTGATTTTCAATTATGGCTGTTAATGTAGGATCTCTGGCGTCTTCCAGTAATTCCAAATACATTTCACCGGTCAAATTTCCAGTTAAGTAAAAAGGACCAACTAAATGATCGCTAAAAATACCAGCCCAAACATTTAATTTTTGTGGCTGCTGTGTATGAACCTCATGATAAATTCTGGGATTAGAATCGGACCAATATCGGCAGTTATGACGATTTACTACGCCATTTAAGAAAAAGGAACATTCGTCGGAAAAGCATATATAATTCGTTCACTCATATCTTCACAAAATTGTAATCGCCGATCAAAATCGTCTTCATTAAGTTCTTGTACCAGGTGAACTTTATATGGATGGAAACTATGGGCCTTTAGAATCCGTTGGACAGTACGTCGACTAACACCACACACAGTATCCATTTTGCGGATACTTAGCGTAGGATCTACATAAACTTGCCCTGAAGCCCCCAATTCTATTGCTTCGTTCTTTATGGGATTTTCATTGTTGCGTTTTTTATTAGCGACTGACTCAGTTTCCCGAAATTTAGCTACAAGTTCTAGAACATATTTTCGATGCACGTTACTGTTCTCATGTCGCTCATTAAATATTTCTTCTGTTCTATTAGCGCACTGATTATTTCCGAAAAATATTTCGATAATTTCAGCTCTTTCTGCTGTAGAATATACCATGGTTAATTTATGTAATAAAGCGTTACAAGTTATTTTAGCAACAAAGTTTAGCCAAATCAATCGGAAACTATGTACTAAATTCCTATTTAAAATAAGAACGAAATATTTCCTTATATTTCTTCAAGAAATAACTTTTTTGTTACAAAGAAACGCTCCAATAGCTATTTTCAACAACGAAATGATAAACAAACCATGGGCGTAGTGACGAAAAGCATTTACTTATTAAGCAAATTCTTTTAGTCAAATTTCTTCTGAAAGTAGTACAAACTAATCTGATGTACCTATTAAAGTCTACTTTAAGCTTTAAATCAATACATCTTCAAAACTGCTGAACTGAAGCTAATGTATTTTACATCATTGTAAAGGAAATTGAAAGACCTTTCAAATAAGATATCACTCGACCTCCCTTTCCATTTACGGTTTTAGGGTTGGTGTCACCCCCGTCCAGGGGGCTGTACGTGATAACGTGATTTTTTTCCAAACGTGTGTCCCCCTCGAAAACCAAATCGACGGGTCTGAGCGTTTTTCCAAAAAAAAAAACTGAGCTGCCAGTAAATGCGTCTGTTTCGTTTTCGATGCGCCACCCTGTATAGCGTTTATAAGAAAATGTAATGCCGATAATTGCGGACAACAGACGGAATGTCGTATTGAAATTATAATTATGCCACCTCGTAGAGAAGGAATAGTGGCAATGTTATTCTTTAATTCATTTTGAAGTCCCACCTCAAATCAAGTCATAAGAAAATGAAGACGATTTTCGGAAAATTTGTTTTTTTTCCTCTCGAGAATTACTCTGAATTGAGAATTTTATCAAGTACAATTTTTTGGTTGTCCAAGTTAACCGATTTTATCTTTTCGATATCCCAACTGTGAGATTTGAATTTGACATGCATGTCTAGTTACGTACTGCTCAAAAAATATTTGCCATTGAGAGTCAATTAATAATTACACAAATAACTCTTACCTTCGCAACCGCAAGGGTCAACTATGCCATGATTAAAGTTTCGGCCAAGTTCCTCTCCATTATTGAAATACTCTCTTATATTGGGTATTCCTAAATGATAATAAGTATAGCTATTATTATACTGTGTGTTTCCGCTGCAAACGCTGTGTACTTTCTTTAGTAGGTCAGTACGTTCTTTTCGAACTCTGCCCTACTGTCCTTCAAAAGTTTATTAAGTTCACCTAAATGTACTTTTTGAATACTACTTTTTGTTTGAAGAAACGAAATATTTAATTGTGTTTTTGATGTATAGCGTATTTGGATTTCAACCCACTGTGCCGCCACTGATCGCCTTGCTATCACTTTAAAAACTTGAAAATGTGGAAGACAGCAGTGTCGAGCAATTCTATTCGAATTGTTTGACTGAATTGAAAAGTCGGAGTGAAAATTTAAGTGAACGAAAGCTTTTTCGGATGGACTAACCTGAGAAGACAACTTTCTTGGGCGGATATTTTATCTTCGTGTGAGGCTTTTAAGGACTACATAGGTCCGGTATCGAATCAGGACGAACTGCTCGATGAAGTTAGTCTAATACAAACGAACCTCATCCTGATGACATTCGCAGAGCGACGAATCTTGTTCATGAAGTAAGAAATGCTCTCCATGAATTCCGCAATGAGCAATGGAACGAGTTTCTGGCGGGGATGCTTGATGCTCAGAAACGAAAAGCGACAACAACTCATGCACATACACGGTCCTGGGGGCATAGTCTTCAGGACAGAGGACAATGTCGAGGTTTTCGCTGACGCTATGGAACGACAATTCTCATCCAACTATCATCTCGACGAGGAGCAACGAATTGTAAGATCCGTTAGGAGATATTTTAGAGTCAACGGCGTCAGTGATCCCGGCGCCGCCATTAGTGATTCTTCCTCAGAAGATTCTTTTTCGGAAGATTCTTCAGCCGAAGAGTTGCACAGCACATCAGCGGCTTCTCCCGAGATCCCGTATTGCACACCAGCAGAGCTTCAATGTCATATTAAAGACCTCAAGGTGCGTAAAGCACCTGGGGAGGATCAAGTCACTAACAAGGCGCTATTATCAACTCCATGCTAAGGAGCCAGTACTTTGCATCGGCGTGGAAAACTGCGGAAGTTATAATGATTCCAAAGACGGTGGGTTCGATATTTCCCCAGGACTATCGTCCCATCAGCCTACTGTCTGGTCCGTCTCAGCTAGCTGAAAAGTTGATTCTACGTCACCTTGCGAATTTCTCTTCGGATCACCATGTGATTCCTGACGTGCAATTTGGATTTCCGTCTGAGCATAGTACGGAGTTACAGGCGGTTAGGCTTGTGGAGCGAGTAACCAGGGGCTTCACCCTTAACGAAAGTACTGGCATCTTGCTTCTGGATGTCGAAGGCATTTGACAAGGTGTGGCACAAGGGCCTTCTCTATAAACTAATTCAAAAGGGCTTTCCATTTTGGCTCCTAAAATTTTGAAATCCTTCCCTGAAGGTAGGAAATTTCGGATCAAAATTAATAATTTTTTGTCGACAGTACGGCTCATCAGAGCCGCCGTCCCTCAGGGTTCGGTTTAGGGCCAATCCTTTACTCACTTTACACGCATGATGTCCCTTGCCCTAGCGACTGTGAAGTCTATCTTTATGCTGATGACACTGCACTGGTAGCCCAGTTGCGTACTGGGAATTTGGTTCACGACAGGTTACAAGGTGCGGTGGACGAGGTATTGGAATGGGCAGATCGGTGGCTAATCAAAATTAATTACTCGAAAACACAGGCTATCTATTGTACTAGAAAACCTAGCGGCGCCCCGCCTGAGGTTTAAGTGAATGGAGCTCGCATACCATGGGGAAATTCTGCTAAGTATCTCGGTGTCACTCTTGACAGGGGGATGACCTGGCAGAATCACACTGAAGCGTTAATAACCAAATTCAAAATTACGTTTCGGCTACTCTACCCTTTACTATGTAGAACCTCAAAATTAAGTTTGGTTAACAAAGTTCGGCTATACAAGATGGTTATCAGACCAGCAATCACTCAAGCATGTGCAGCATGGTGTTTTCTTGCCAAAAAACATATGCGTAATCTGCAGGTTTTGCAGAACAGAACCTTGCGAACCATCACTAACGCACCATGGTATGTCTCCAACGAGACCATTCACAGAGACCTCGATATCCCTTACCTAAGGGACTACATCAAACATCAGGCGCCGTTACGTTATAGTCAAGCAGAATCGCAAAGCAACCCTCTGTTGCGTGAGTCATTAGACTACACAGTCGAGCAAGTTCGCAAGCACACAAGACCGCGGCTCGCACTGTGATCAAAATCAAATCGTGCAATTCTAGATCCAACCAAAATTACGATCTTTGCCACACAAAAATTCCTAAATTAATTTTTGGATTAATTTAAAATAGTCGAATACCAGTTAACAATAGCTTTCTCCCTGACTTCGTCTGGTATCTGGGCAACCAGACCTGACAGACCGACGGACCTACGATACTTTAACAAAAAGCGAAGGTCCCACGGACCGCTCTGACGAACAATGACGAATAGAACAAACGAACATTACAGAAAACAAAATTACTGTACTGGACTTTAAGAAATATTTCTACTGAAGATCGTTGGCTCGACGTTTTCCAAACAGAAAATGCATAGAAAAATGTAAACATTTTATGTGAGTTTGTTTTTTGTCTGCCTGGGATCAGTGCGTCAATTGAGAGGTGATTCTCAAATATTAATAACTATCGGTGTAATGAAAAATCGCAGTTGAAGATATTTACTCTGGAAGCCTACACAAACTTTAATGATACTTGCATTCAAATGTTTCATTTTCTAAAGGGTAAACCACAAATTTTAAAGGCAATTCATGGTTCCCAAAAGTACGATTGGTACCAAAATGAAGATCCGAATGGTCTCTAGCACGTCAACTTTTAAATATTTACGTACATATATTTTTAAAAATATTTTGTTATATTGCTGCTGCATCTGTATTATAATAAAACATAAATACCTTAATTTTGTTTGATTAAAAATGTGTTAGATTTAGACAAAAAATGCTCCAAGTATCAGTGGTGATTTTCGTTAAATGTGTATTTTTTTATGTTTAAAAATTATGGTCACCCTAATATGCCAGACTCGGTAATAGCACACCCGAAATTATAAAAAAACAATCAACGCATAGTGAACTTAAAAAAACATCGAATAGCTGTTGAACTTCTTGTGTCTAAGGACCGTATCGTTAGTCATTCTTACAATTATTGTAGGATGCTTTTATGGCCTCCTAGATTGTCATAGTATTTTCAGTCCTTCAGAAAGGCTGGCATATGTCTAGATTTCACCTGTTCCGTGTCAACATCAGCGTTCTCCTATTGTGAGGTTATTTATGTTCTCTTTTTGAATTGCAAGAAATTTCAGGCTGGTAAAGCAGATGATAATAATCAAACGCAACAATTTGATGCAAACAGATATTTGTGACATAACCTCAAAATACAGTGCTGTTACAACAAACAGTAGAAAACTATCAAAATCAAGGAGGCTATAAAGGCGTTTTACAGTTGCAGGAGCGACTGACTTAGGCAAGTATCGTTAGTCGTCCCAGGCTGATAAGACATGATATAACTCAAAAGCAAGCAAAATTTGATGCAAAAAGATGTTTGTGACATAACCTCAAAATAGAGGTCTGACACGGAGAAGTAGAAAACTATGACAATCAAGGAGGCCATAAAGGCGCCCTACAATTGTAGGGACGACTGACGATAAGGCCCTTAATTGACTGATTCGAGAAGTTTATCATATCAAAGATAATTGTTAGCTATACTTTCATTTCAATCTGTGTAAAGAATGCATATACCATATTTTTTAAAATTAAGGTGCCTTCGATTGAAGTTAGGGTAATATACTTACTTGCTGAAAAGCAGCCAACAGCTAAAGTTAGCACAACTAAGCTGCTTAGTAGGATATTCATCCTTTATTTGTTGAGGACAGCTTGCACAAGTTGAATATTTTTTTCTGATCGCTCCTTTTAAGCAAATCCCGAGAACTATAGTTCATTGTTGTCTTGATATAAATTATTATTTATAGTCCTATTGTTTTTATAAATGACAGCCTAATAAACCTGTTTCTAAAGTTACGAAATCACGTGAAATGTTGCATGTGATAAATAATACCGGTAATCACTAAAACACTTTTTCAAAATAGTTTTATCTGTTTTTCGTTAAAATAAATGCTAGGTACAAAAATAGCACTGCTTTTTACTTCCTGACAAGGAAATATTGTAATCGCGATGACTTTCGAAAATGAGATATTATGTGCTTTGGTTGTTATATGATAAAACATACTCATTTCTATTTACATTTTGGTAGCTTTTTTCCTATGACGAACATAATCCTTCATGGACTGATGACAGCGTTGCTTGGTAAATGCAGAGTCAACCTACTTTGAAACATGCAGGTTACAAAAGTACGACTTTATTTTAAAAAGTTGCTGTAATTGAGGACAAAAAGGCCTTTATGAAATTATTTTTATCGAGGTGCCTGTTTTAAGTACCGATACCAGCAGTAGTTAGCCATCATGTGTATGTTTCACCTCCCTTGGTTTGGGGAAGAGTTATTGGCAGACAAGTTATCGGGCCTTTCTTTTTCGACAACAGATTAACAGGTACAGAATACTTGAATTTCTTGATCGAGCATTTGCTTCTACTTTTGCAGGATGTCAACCTGTAAAGTCGGATGCATATGTACTTTCAACATGACGGCGCACTTGCGCATTATCATAATCGTGGGCGTAGCTATTTGGACACCTGGAGTAACAACAAAGGATTAAGGATGCTTTTCTGAACATAAGGGTACACCTGCTGAGGGATGTACAACGGTCATTTATCCATTCAACATGGTGGAGATACTTTCGAGCAGTTTTTGTAGATTAGGTCTTGAGTAGTGATAGTTGTTTGTTTATGTTGTTGTTATAGTTGTTTTTCTCTATTACGCTTGAAGCTGATTTATACTGTTCTGATTGTTATTAGTTTTCACGTCAAATCTGTACTCTTAGTGGCAATATGGATCTAGCTCACTGCTTGTCTTTTGTTTCCATGGATGATGTGATTTTTTTTCTTAATTTTGGTGTGTTGTTCTATTAAAAGCTTAACTCAAAATCTAGTCATTTAATCTGAATCAAACCTTATACCAAGAAAAAGCTTAATAAAAAATTGAATCCAAACTAGCACAAATATACAGGGTGATGCTTTTGAAATTTTTGAGGAAAAGTACAATTCGCGTTTTTGACCACCCTGTATGAGCAAACACGAAAATTTGAAAAAGTAACAAATAGGATAAAAGCTGAGGTGTGTAAGTTTTTTTTGACACAGAATTCAGTACTCCAAATTTCTAAATGGCGGATTGAGGGGTTGCCGAATTGGACGATTTTTCTGGACAAAACACCTTACATCTCAGTAGCTAATTACCAAAACCCCATAGAATGATATATCAATCTTATTCTTTTGAAATGGTTTATCCAAATATGCAATGAAACTTGAGGCATTTCATTTAAAAAATCACAACTTTGATATGTAGGTCAAAATTGGGACACCCAATATTTTATAAATATGCCCTAAAATGTCATCTATAACATGCCATAAATAGATTTTCCCAAAATGTATTTGTTTATGACTAATATTCCGTCCTCACATGAATGTGCCACCCTGTATTGTAGTTGACACTCATATAACATACAGGTTGTAATTTTATTGGATGGCGAATAAAACAGAATATGGTTCCTTAGCTCATTTTAGGAAGAAAACTTTATATGAACATGGGGCCTATACAATGGCCTGCTAGATCTCATGATCTGACGCCATTAGACGTTTTTCTATGGGGCCATTTGAAATCTGTTGTGTTTACTCCCCAGCCTAAAAGTTTGGATGAGCATCGAAAACTATATCCCTCAACCTGATTTTGAAAATGTACGTCAGAAATTTGAACATCGCCTATATCATTGTTTGGCCAATAACGGGTAATATTTTGAATACTTACTGAACTAAAAAGGGTTATTCTCGTGTTTTCTTGTTTTATATCTGAACAAATTAAGATAAATGCAGTTTTTCTAAGGTGAAAGGAGGTGAAGTAGTTTTTGGTTAAATGTTGTGCCCTTGACAAATCTTTTGACGCGTTTTTTCTTTTAATCGGTGGTTTTCTCTAAATGCCCTAAGAGCTTATAGTTTGTTGTTGAAAAATTTGTTATCCCTGGAAAACAGCCAATTATATCATGATTATAATGCCAGTGCCCTCATTAGCCATCAAAATAGCTCATTACTGGTTGCTACACAAGTACACAAAAACATATAAATTTCAACTCCCACCGATCCCATTTTCTCTCTGCAATACACGTAGTAACATGCTCATGTGAAGTTCAGGGTTCATATTGCAAAGCAAACTCGGGGGATGTTACGAACAGTGTCAGAGACGACGGCATGCATACATTATTCGGCTTCATGGAAAAGATAAATGTAAATACGCTACACTCAACCAGATCTCCTGGCAACGGGGAATATTTGCATACCCTCTATTGCGAACCGGATACGAATGGGCGTCATTTGAACTTGACACTACCCTTGTTTAATTTAGCAGGTCAAGCGAATGTTTTCCAACGCTGTCTGAATAGGTTTGAGTTCGTTCAATGGGATATTTTCGAAAAAATTCATTAATCGGGAATATCATTTTTTTGTGCATTACCCTCACGTTTTGTCATGCGTAGGTTTATTACTTCCTGATTGTTTAAAAACAGATAAAGCGATATCCTACATGCACATAACCTGAAACTCGTTTTTTGCGCGGTGTACACACGAGAGAGATGCCCATTGGGCAGCACCTGAAATTCATTTGCTGCGCAATGTACCGGCTCACTTCATCGTCGACATTTATGACTTCACTCCCACTCCATGAGTTCAACCTCCTATCTCTAGTATTCATGGTGCAAACCTGCTTGTCCCATGGAGATTAGGTTTTTGTCAGATGTGAGGAAATAAGCTCTATCCTTTTACAACATGGAATAAGTGGTCACGTTCTCTCAGTATCCAAAATAGAAACCCAATCCCACTGGTGTGGTCTTAGGTTTTAAATACTGTATACTGAAAAGTTTACCTATGGAATCTCGACTTTCAACGTTTTTTAATAGCTAATATACTAAGTGACATATAAATCCGAACACCCAGTTTAAATGGTTTTATTTTAATAAAATTTTGTATAAGTACTTAATGAAGCATAATAAGCAAATGATAAAAATTTCAAAATGATTGCACTGCTTTAAAGCCCTATGACCTTTAATAATGTGTGGATGCACCCTGATGTGCTACGCATTCTCCAACGCGTCTAGGCATGCTTCTGATCAGGTGGTAAATGTCCTCCTGTGGTATCACATTCCAGGCAACCACCAACTCCTCTCGAAGTGCTTCTAGAGTCTGAGGAGGACGTTGCAAATTGAGCAATCTCCTACCCATCATATCCCACACGTGCTCAATTGGGGATAAGTCGGGAGATCTTGGTGGCCATGGTAACAATGTGACATCATTATGTTGAAAGAAGTCTATTGTGACTCTTGCAACATGTGGTCGGGCATTATCTTGTTGGAAAGTTTGATCTGCCAGGGTGTCAAGATAGGGTAAAAGATGGGGTTCTAGAACTTCGTGGATATAACGCTGCGCGTTCATGTTACCTCTGATGAAGATTAAAGGTGACCTGGAACCATAAGCTATAGCACCCCAAACCATAACTCCAATAGTGTGATGAGCTTGTATTTCAACAGAAAACTGTGGATTCCTCCTTTCACCACGTCGCCTTCTAACCCTGGCACGACCATCGTGCATGCCTAAACAAAATCGAGACTCGTCACTAAAGACAATACTGTTCCGTTCCTGATCCCAGAGTGACTGTTGTCTGCACCACTCAAGGCGATTACGTCGGTGTTCTCGAGTTAAAGGGAGGACCCAGTGTGGCCGGTATGAAAACAAGCCAAAACTTCTCATTCGTCGGTAAACACTTCGCATGCCAATAGGTCTTCCGTGTTCTGCAAACCATTCATTTGAAATGGACCTGGTAGTGGAGAAACGGTCCCTTAAGGCCAATAATCTTAGGCGGCGATCTTCACGGTCTGTTGTTCTGCGGCGGCGTCCAGTGCCCCTTGCTCTTTGCGTACGGCCTTCTCGAAGCCATGCCTGACAACACCTAACCACAGTGTCTTCACTTCTTTGCACTCTAACTGCAATTGCCCGAAAAGAAAGTCCAGCTTCAGGAAGTCCCACTATACGGCCCCTATCAAACTCACTAAGATCACGAAATCGTACAGGTCTCCGTACTCTAGGCATCGTAACCGATCGTAAAGGATGTCAAGAACCAAAATCCGCCAACATTGATTCTTTACTGCGGCTGAAATATTCATTTTTAGAGCGTTAGTGAATTAAAAAAAAAGCAGTTTAAAAACCGGAATGTCCAACTGATAAGGCTGAAATTTTTTTCACTTGTTATTTACAGTAAGACAAATACATTCACCAACTTTTATTAAAATAAAACCATTTAAACTGGGTGTTCGGATTTATATGTCACTTAGTATATGTATACGCTGATTACAGCTTATAATATGTCAGCTGATAGATGTTATTAAACGACAACTTATGGATTTTAAGGATTTCTTACTGAGATACGTTCAGTATTTAATTCTAACCGAATATTTGTAATTTTTAATAAGCACATCACTGGTTTCTTTGCGGGTATGATTAAGGGCCTTTGAGACAAACAAAAATTTGCCCTTGTCTATTGATAAGCGATTTTAACGTCTATAGCTATGAAAATCAACCGAATGTGCGACCCACAGAATAAGCCAAGGTGTGAAAGCTTTCTAGATCGCTCCACTTTTATCTATCGTGATTAGTAAAAAAAGAATAGAACTCTAAGGTTCTGATCCATATGAAGTATCAGTATTTGTATAGTGAACATGCTTCAATCATAAAATGTTTGTTTTTCTAGTTACAAACCCTTAATTTACATATTCACAATCAGGATGAAATATCGTCCCAAAGTCCCATGACAGCGCCGACAAAGAAACCAGTGGTGTGTTTAGTTGAACCCTGAAATACTCCAAAACAATTTGGCAGCTTTAATGCATACTGTCGACTC